CTCTTGCTGGATCAAGAAGGGTTTCAAAGTCTTTGCTAAGCCCAGCTCTTATGAATTGTATTTTATTATTTCGGTTTTTCAAAGCTCTACATTACCCAACCATATGTAAAGAATGTGGTGAGGACTATGTTTATTGGACCACGAACCTCAAGTACCGCCTTTTTTCAACCTGCGTTAGGAAGGAGATGTTTTTACAAAAAAAAATAAATAAAAAAAAAAAAAAAAATAAAAAGAAAAAAAGGTTCACCCATGAATGCGAGAGGAACAGAGTGCTGCACGAGACACTATCCAACCATGACATATACCCTGCAGGATTTTGTTTGGTTGAGTGATAAGTGTCATGATATTGATATGACCGATAGAACCCAGAAAACATAAGAAAGTCCACGTCATAAAATTCCCGGAACGAACTCTCACCTGCTGGGGGGAATCAGTTTTCCCCTGACAGCTCTAATGACTTATCAAGCATTGCTTCTCCAGAACGCTAAACATAAAAAAAATATCGTCAAACCGCCAATTGAATCTCTCCGATCTCAAAACACAGAACCTTAGCATGCGGACCCTCGCTCCTCAACCACAACTGAAAAACACGCTGCCCCATCCTCCAACGAAACTATGTCGAATTTTCCTAAATTGGACTGGCCCCCACCGGTATGAGCGGGAAGAAGGAAGTTAGGTGGGAAAAGCTGCTCACTAATTCATCCCCGGGTTGTGTGAAAACCCAGTTTCCCATGTTCAGGGACGAACAGTTAGAAAGGGTTGCAAAAAGGGCAAGAATTGTCCTTTTTTTTTTTTTTTCCTTCCATCCCGAAATCTGCAAAAACTGGCGCTTGGACATCGGTTCATTGTTTTCTAAAAAAGGATTGTTCGAAATTTTATCCCGTCGCTCCGCTCAGGAAAGTATAAACATAAACAACAACAACAACAACAACAACACCAACCCTCAGTGTCCCCCGAAAAAGCGAAGTAAGCAGAAACAAAAATGGTGCAAAATCAGGAACGTCAGCAATTCTGGAATCGACCAATGTTTTTTAGGGAGAGTTGCGAAACGTTGGGTCACTGGGTAGAGGGGCGACCAAGTATAAGCGATGGAGAAGAAGATGAGCCAAGGTGCACCCAGCGTGCCAACCCACAACACGCAGCCACATCAGCTCTCCAAGCTCCCCCCACCAATGATGTACCCGCTCCAAAGCAACCCCAGCCTATGATGTCTCTAGGAGTGCTCCCAGGCTACCGCCCCATCCATGCCTTACCTCTCCCATTCACTCCTCATCTACTAAATGCCGAGGAGCTTGGAATCCGTCTGGCGAAGAGTGGTCGGTAGAATGGAAAACTTAATGACCTTATTGGTCAAAGTTTGAGGAAAAAACGAGAGTCAGGGCACGTGTTCCCCTTCATCGCGATTTACGGAGTCCTGGTAAAGTTCCATAAACTACAGTGACGCTCAAACTCCAGATACCGGCTACTCAGTTTCAAGATGGACCGTAGCAAGAGGAGTGGAGGAGGTGTTTCTTCTCTACTCCAATGTCGTCTCGATCCCATGTCAGCTTCAGAGTTTTTAAAACCGACGACGGTACTTGTCAGGGGCCTGTGCAAATGTTACCCCATCCTGCGAAATAGGCTATTGGATGGCAGGTCATCTACCAGACGCCCCCCACTGATGCGAGCCTATTCAAGCTTTCTCAAAAGCTTTTTTGGATCACTTGGGCACGCTATCAAAACCTTGACCAACGATTGATGAGTTGTTTCATAACAGGGGAATTCAACCTACTCTCAGGTTGACGTGGGGATCGCTTCAAGATCCACACCCGGTGGGGAAACATTCAGAAAATCAAATTTTATAAATTCGGCCCAACGTTGTTAAAACTTTTATTTCAACCTATCTTCTTCTCAGTCAAATGGCAACGTGCCTACCAGAGAAACAAAACATTTTGGGGAACCTGGTTTTTCTGTTAACAATGACCGACTGGCTATCGATGTTATATACGGGAAGGGGCAACCGGGGGGGGGGGGGGGGATATATCTGATCACGATATGGTCAGCGTCCTACTCTCCTTCCAACAATCAACCCTGTGTGATGGAGGAGGCCCATGCTACATATCTTGTAGAAATGAACTTTCGAAAGCATAGATTTCCATCAAGCTGATTTTCGCCCCCAACGGAATAAGTTTTTGAAGCTATTGATTGGGAATGAACCTGAGAGATGCTGGTAAATACGTTCGAGGAATTTCCTCCTGCCAAGTTCACTGGATAAAGTACTAAAACCACGTGCATATCGAACATTCCCCAAGAAACGACCTCCCATCAGCAAGCCTAAAGCTCTACAACTCTCTCAGAAGACGGAAGTTCTACAAGCTGAAAAAACCTCGTCTCTCTTCCGCAGCAAGGTGCGCCGGTGACAATGCCCGAATCGAAGGAAACTTGAAGAACGAAATTATTCGGGGCTGGGTGCTATGAAATAAAGGAGGGCCATAGTCAAACCGGTCCTGTAGGGAAGGTGGTGAGAATCCCTGCCACGTTTTTGGTCAGTTTCGCCGGGGCTCATGTCTTTCCTCGAGGGAGCATTAGTGTCTACAGAAAAACTGACAAATCCTAGCGAAGTCCAATCCGAACCACATCTTCCATCGGAGGTGGTGCTGGGTCAGCTGGTTACTGAACGGATTGGCCTGGAGAAAGGCATAGTCCTGTTATTCTTAAGTTAACCATAGAGGGGGTCAGGCGCTGTTCGCTCACGGCTGGTTCTTGGAGCCAACACCCTCAGCCCCACAGAAGTGGGAGCAATGTCGGTGGTGGCTCACCCAGATAACGGACAGTGTCTCTCCTTCTTTCTTCTTGGACTTGCATTGTTGCTGGTGAGTCAGCTGGCAACAGTGTACCATACTGACTGGATCTGATCACACCAGTCTCATTTCCAGGCGTTCCCACCCCCACTCACTCACCCACTCACACGCCGCCCCCCGGGCCGCTCCAGCTAGTGGATATCTAGCAATTAGTTATTTTCCAGCTAGTGGATATCTAGCACTTACTCCTTTTCCAGCTAGTGGATAATGGTGGGTTTGCATTCTTGAAGAGTGGGTCTGACAACCAGAGTGGTGGGTCTGCACTTGAGAAGAGTGGGTCTGGCAGCTAGAATGGTGGGTCTGCAATCTAGAAGTGGGTCTGGCAGTTAGAATGGTGGGTCTGCAATCTAGACGTGGGTCTGGCAACATGAATGGTGGGTCTGCACCCTTCAGGCTTAAAGAGTTGGTCTGACAACCAGAGTGGTAGATCTGCACTTGAGAAGTGTGGGTTTGGCAGCTGGAATGGTGGGTCTGCAATCTAGAAGTTGGTCTGGCAACCAGAATGGTGGGTCTGCACCCTTCAGGCTTCAAGAGTGGGTCTGACAACCAGAGTGGTGGGTCTGCACTTGAGAAGAGTGGGTCTGGCAGCTAGAATGTTGGGTCTGCAATCTATAAGTGGGTCTGGCAACCAGAACGGTGGGTCTGCAGTCTGCACCTTTAAAGAGTGGGTCTGACAACCAGAGTGGTAGATCTGCACTTACTTTATATTATTGTGATGTCTGATTATTACTGTCCCCAAATTTCTTTAATGCCAAATGCCGTTTTAATCACCCTATTTCTCAAAAATTTTCCTGGGGGTTCGCTCCCCTTGCCCACCAACTTAATATTATTCTGATGTATGATTATTACTGTCCCCAAATTTCTTTAATGCCAAATGCCGTTTTAATCACTCTATTTCTCAAAAATTTTCCTGGGGGTTCGCTCCCCAGCCCGGCCCACCAACCTTGTATTATTGTAATGTCTGATTATTGCTGTCCTACAAATGTCGTCTGGAACACCCTATTTCTCAAAAATTTTCCGAAGGCCAAGGCTGCGCCCCCCTAGCCCCCCAACTCTGTATTATTGTGATGTCTGATTATTACTGTCCTACAAATTTCTTTAATGCCAAATGTCGTCTAAAACACATAATTTCTCAAAAATTTTCTGGGGGGCTGCGCCTTCCCCCCTCCCTAGCCAACCAAACGAGCTTCGCCCCGGCTACGTGTCGTGTCGGGCTACGTGCCCAGAATCGAAAAAACTTAATCTTTAAATGAATAACGGAACCTTCTTTTTGAAGTTACGAGATGATAATATAATTGGGAGGCAAAGTGGGTATCGGGCTTGGGGCTCATAATGCGCAAAATTTGGCCGCTGTCGAGTGGGTCTGCCTAAAATTCACAGATCTAGCTATGGGTCTGAGACATTTGTAAAAAAAAAACCTTAGTTACGGTGGCATCACCGCTCCATACGTGACTAGCTAGCTTGGAGGTCGTTATTAAGTCATTAAACGTACATTAGTTTAAGTTATATTATTATAAGGGACTAGTGTAATAGTGTGACGTGCAGCTGGTTTTACAGCCTACACACCACATTTGTCGAATGAAGTGTTGTTATGAGCTGCATCTCTTACTAGGAGCTTTGTTTTCTGACTAGTAACGGCTTCTTTTTTTCATGTCCACATCTAATTCTAAATTTTATTGTTGGAGCTCTGTGAGTGTGTTTTGTTCTTAGCACTGTATTTTTACATGGCTTATGTTCTGTTTTACCGTAGTTTATTTTATACAGAGCTTTAGCAAACAAAAATTGATACAGCATTGATCATTCATGCTTCCTAATGCAATTAAACTCTCGGTTAACATTTTTATTTCTGGGAGTAGGACATTAATACTTGTGATTCTCTTTTGCTTGACAATCCAAATAATCACATGATAATTGTTGACTTGATAACGATGATTGTAACACTTACATACCCATAAAAGTAACGTAATTAATCATTGATACGTAGAAAATAAATTGTTCCATGTTGTGTGTACTTTTGTTACGTGTTTATTATTGAGCTCTGTTATCTCATCTCTTATCGCTCAGGATAATAATATAATGTACTGTATAAACGATACTCTCTACTTAGAGGAATCAGCCTCGAATTCCTGGAATATCTCTGAACTGAGCCGGAATGACACATTTTGTAAGGGTGTTTACACGTTTATCAGATACACTTCTGCACCACTGGGCCTGGCTATCATCTTCATCAACATCTTAGCTTTCAAAGCTATAAGTAAGTATCAGCTATTTCATGAGACTGCGCATTTTGTAAAATTTAGTGATGTTCATATTAATTTGGAGCTATTTAATCATTAATAGTATTTGCCGATTCCCGGTATCGGACAACATTTTCATAGAAATTAAAATATTGATTATTCGTGATATCTTTTTCAGGCAATGTTATGAGATCACATCTATCGTTTGGAGGAAACGCTGTAACTCTAAAAGGGATCACCTTTTTTGACGTGATGAACGGATGTTTTCTGTTAATATACTTCGTTGAGACTGCTATGGGCAGCTTTTTGAAAGGTTTGTGATTTTCAGATTTTGCAGAAATTGAAGATAAGGTAGAAAGCTTCACAACATGAAAATACGTCTTCTCAAAATACGCGTTATATAATGTCACACTTTTACAGAATCTTTCTACAGGTAGCGGCAGCGGTACTGGAAAATATTTCTGGAAAGCAGAGGTGTGGTGTTCGTGGCTGTGCATATACTCATCCGTCCTATTCCGTCTCTACCTTTGCTGCCAGCGTCTCTACAGTTACGGAATGCTCCTCGTCACTGCTCAAAACACCCATCTCATTCCTGAGTCTAGGAGGAAATCCTACAAAGTATGTTGTGCTCTGTTTATCGTTGCAAACATCGAGCTAGCAACTGTCCTTCTGACCAAACACCCTTGGTACAACTTCTTCAAGGAGAGAGGGATGTACACAATTCCTTTTCTGCTCATCCAGGACGTAGCGGTCGTTCTAGTGAGTCTCCTCTCAATTGTTGTCCTTGTTTCTTCCACTTCGCGATCGTACAGCAACGTTCTCGTGTCATCTGCCGTTCTTCCGCTCTGTCTGATTTCAGTCTCTTCAGTGATCACTAATCTAGCTACTTTTTACGGTGACGTTCTATGTCTGTCAAGGTCTATAGAGGTCACGAATCATTTTTTACTTACAATGAAACCAGAATGTTTTATACCATTGGCAAAAGCCTTGACGTACTTCGATTCTCTATTTTTCCCGATTATTTTGTTTTATACGAGTGCAAACCTAAGAAAGAGCCTTGAGCAAGTTGTATGTGGCGTTCAGCCAGTTAGTCAGCCACTTGTACAATAATTGTGTTCCTACCGATTAGTTTTCAGTTAAATCAACAGTTTAAATTTGACGATTTGTGACTTCGCTAAGACAGATCATAAGATCATTTAGTATTTGAAGTCGAATTCTTGAATACTAACAATTTTGGTGGAACTCCGATAGCGTTAAAAAACAGTGCTTGAAGTATCAACAATACAATTGTAATTTCACGTGTTGTCTGCTTCGTTGGGAGTTAACTTGTTAAATCAATTTAACCTACTTGGAAAAGTAAGTAAGCATCAGTAGCACAAACACCCATCTTCTCGGTCTCCGGAGGACCACTTTCATCTGTAAAATTGATCATTTACTAATACTATATCATTTTAAATCTTGAATAATAATAATAGTTATGTCTCTAGATTTCTGAACCCACAGCTTCCATTTTATTGTTTGAAATTGTCACAAGAACTCGTGTTTTGTTATCAGTGGATTCTTATTCTGTTTAAATGTAGAAAGTTAAAGAAAGATGTTTATCACAGTTTTGTGACCCCTACTGCAATTGATGGAAATATTAACTAAAACTATTAACAAATAACAGTTTTTCAACTGAAACGAATAAATTGTTATTACTTGTGAAGCCCCAAACTTACTCTGTCTAATCCCCTCCTGAACGACCCTATCGAATACAACAGCAACGACCTGTCTCAGGGTGGCAGCTGCCGTGTTTGCGATTGTGTGTTCGGAGGACGAGTGAAGTTGAAAACAGATCGCAATCGCCTGAGGAGAATAACTTGATAAAAAGGCAAATTTTCACACTGAGTATTGTCATATTGAGTCAAATTACTACATAAATAATACAGATTGTCGTTAATTTGGTGTAACGTCAAATCATAGAGATATAATGGCAATCTTTACTAAAATTAGTCTCGCGTACTTTACATTTTACAGTGAACTATTGAGCATGCTGCAAGAATTTCTCAGAAAAAGCTGGCATATTCAGCGCAGCAGGAATTATCATTAAATTATAATTGAATTAGGAATTATAATGGGTACCTGAGCGAGTGTTTCTCCGTGCAGCAACTTTGTGGATGTAAGCAGCAGCAATATAGTCTGCAGTATCCTTAAAAGCTCTATCTCCTGTCGGTGCATGTCACCTGGTGGAAATAAGTAATTAGAGATAAAATAACATTTTGTTAATCATGCATGTTTAAAGTGGTAAATTATAAAGTTTCAATATCTTTAAAAATTACAGCCCTTCTTTAGTCTCTAGCTCCGTATTCACAGGCAACAAACACAATAACACCGAGCAATTATTTGGACCTGTTCAACAAAATATATATCAAAACAGTTGAATTCTTGCCAAGTCGGCACTGTAATTAAAAAATATGATCACGCACAGTGACAAGCAAAGGCACAGCACGTTTTATGATTTTCAAATGTACCTCAAAGCTCAACAAAATATTTTTTTTGGGTAACTTGGTAATATTATAAATTATGTAATTTATAATATTACCAAGTTACCCAAAAAAAATATTTTGTTGAGCTTTGAGGTACATTTGAAAATCATAAAACGTGCTGTGCCTTTGCTTGTCACTGTCTGTACAGACAGGATGTTTTTTAATAATTTGTTTTCAAATTTCAAATATAAGGTTAATAATATTATGTACTCACTCAGAGTTTTAACGATAATTGTTACAGATGTATCAGGCACAGCATCATGAGAGATCAGCTTTTGAATACAAGTGATACTGATAAGAATCAACTTTGGATTCTTTGTTTCACAGCCGAGGATAAAGGGTTGAATAACATCGTCTGACCTGGCAATAACTGAAATGTTCATTATTGAGTTTCTACTCTAAACTTAGTTTTAAATACAATGTGGTACCTTAATTCCCAAAAATTTGGGCGACAAAAAATTTGATCGGGCCTCTCGCCCAAATTTTTTGCAGACCAAATTAATTGCATAAATCTTTTCCGTCTGCTAAATTTTTTGCTAACCAAATTTTTGGCATTTGGCCTGTGGCCCTGAAATCTATACAAAGATGGCTTTTTCTTCATATCCAAGTGAAATAATATTTGAAATTTTAGTTTTCTAATCTGTCATTCATGGCTTGACCAAGTAAAAAGGCTTATATTTTAAATGAATCGAAATAACTGGAATAGCTAACAGCTACTAATAAAACAAATGGCTAGAGGTACGGATAGCTAGAGATTTAAACAAGATCTCCAAATGGATTATCATCCACAATAAAGTCTGATCTACAAGCATCAGTTATACCTGACTTCTCAAAGCCTTTCCTTATGTCATCTGGCCTCCCTTCTAAATATACAAAAAGTTCGTTGATCCAACGAGCGTGTACTTCACGGATCACTGTCAAGCGGGTATCAATTTTCACATTGTCTGACGAAACTCCTCCATTGAGCTGACACACTATGTTTTTCGCGCACCGATCTTCGTACTTATTGCGCATGAATTTCTTAGCCAGTCCATTGATAGATATGTCCAGGTGCTGTAGATGATGGGTCATATTAGCTGGAACTTTCTGTAGGATGCAGTTGTTGGCTGTCATCAGATCTTTTAGTGTCTGTGTGTGTTGGGCCCGAAACACATCTGATATCAGTAGCGCTTTCTCGAACTGATTTTATGTAGGGAAGAAGGATTTTCTCTGAGAACTGGACACTGGTCAAACCTTTCGACCATCTGGTGAGGCGTCATAATGATAATTGTATGTGAAAGGGGTATGATAAGATATGCTGAGTGTAAGTAGACTAAACTATCTGATTGATAGACTAAATATCACTATTGTATATCTATCATTTTGTACTGTGCCATCATCACTGTATTTTTTAGTAGTTACTGGGCAGATCGTAAATTTCATAATGTGAAACAACTCAGACTACCACCTACATGCTTAAAATTGAAAGCAAAATGACTGGAATAATAAGGAATAATAATGAACTAAGGCAAATATCTAACTGAAATTTTAGTGGAAAATCGTTCATTTTTCGAAGAATTTGTGCCCAAATTTTCGGTCGCCCAAATGAGTTCAAATTTTCTGCCCAAATTTTTCGGGCTCAAATAAATTGTGCTCAATATAATGGCACACAAATTTTTTGGAACTAAGGTAATTTAAAAACTTCATACATTGTTTTTGTTAAGATGAAAAACTTGAATAGTCAGTAATGTTTTTGGCTATTATACATAACAGGATTATATTCAGGTCCTTCTTGTTAATACTAGAACCTAATAAATTTGAAGTAAATCAAAATAGTAACTCACCTTCATTTATATGTTTATCATTAGCAGCACTTAGACTTCTGAGTTTTAAGATGGCTCTTTCAGCTGCATCTTTCACTGCAGGGTGCCTCCTCTTTGCTTCTGAGGAAACACTTCTAAGATCTGTCTGTAGGGTGTCAACCAAGTTTTTCCATTTCCCGATCATTGCATATCAACAATACCTACTGAAATTCAATCTTTGACATTTGACAAGTATGTAACTAGATAAAAGATATTAATCGAAGTGGCCATCATTGTTCACTGTTGAACTACTGATAGATGTTACACAAAGTTAGAGTTAGTTCATTGAAAATGTCGCCCAGGCCCAGTAAGTATGTGGTTAGTGTTTTAAAGGAGTTTAGGGTTGGTTTGTATTATGGCAGTTGTGTAGGTAAGCTTGGGTAATCTTGGATTAATTGTTTGAAAACCTTATTCAATAACTGTCACACTGGGTGATCTGAGTATGCAGTCAGTTTAGGGTCAATTTTAGATAGATTCTGGGTAAGTTGGTGTAAATTTCAGGTTACTTTGAGGGTTAATTCTTCTGTTTTTTTCTTACCAAATTTTATTTTGTTGACCTCTGCTGTTCATCAGTTTGGCCGCTTTATTTAGTTACTCCAGAAAAGCATGTATAATTCAAACAATATATAATAATAATAATAATAACGCATAATTTGTATACCGCTTAGGCCGTGTAAGCGACCAAAGTCCCACTAATATAATGGGGTTGATACTGGCCAACAAAGCGGTGATGGCCAAACAATCAAGTGATGAAATTGGCAGAGCACAATCAATTCAAGTGTTGCAATGAGTTGAGCACACTACGTAGGTAACGGAAATGGTTCATTGCTACCAATTGAACTTTAAACAATCAAATATATACACACAAATTTTCAATTCATATTTACCGAATTTTTCTTGGAGAAGTTATCTTTTGACTCTTAAGGTTGCGAACAAAATGAAGGAGCAGACTTTAGGCTAGAAACTTTATTGTATTTATAGACAATAATATATTTATAGCCTAAAGTCTGCTTCTTCATTTTTTTCGCAACCTTAAGAGTCAAAAGATAACTATCATATTTTACCTTTAAGTTATTATATTCATAGACATGTATATGTCTGAGTGGTTATGTTTTGTTGTTTCACACACACTCATTCCCTTAGCATGTAAATACAACAAGGATGTAAATATAGAGGATTCAGGTGAACGGAACGAGAGCTAACCCTGAAGGGCAGGTAGTGTAATGTTTAGCTTATTTTGGTTTCTATGTAGTAGTTTCAGTTTCTTTGTAGTAGTTCCTTTAGTCCTAGGTTTGTAGTTTTGGGGTTACTACTTTCTAACATACTTTCTTATATTTACAGGGTTGTTTTTAGTTCTAGTGAGTGTCTGCTGCTGTAAGAGTGAAAGCCAGACAAGTCAAGTTCCAGTGTGTGTGTGTGTCACGGGGACCACACAGAAGAACCTAAAGAGAAGATCTAGTGTTTGTGAGTAAGGGAATATCACAACACGTTCACATCACTTCTGGGGAAGTGATAGAAGAATTAGTTTCTAAGAAGTTAGAAGAAGTTAGAAGAAGTAGTTTATAAGAAGTTTGAACTGTTATTAAGAAGGATTTACAGTTTTGGGAAGATTTGTTTGTAATCACATTACCACACCACTCACGAGGTTAAGTGAGTGAGAGTTGTGTTTGAGGTCTGTGTAGAGTGACGTGCAGTGATAGTGAGTGCAGCGTTAGTGTGCTAACC